CCGTCTGAGCGCTCTCTATAGAGCGCTCTGGCGGCTGCAGAATTTAAAGGGCCGGCGATGGGGGCGCAGGGCGCCCCCTCCTATATGGCGCCCTAGGCGGCTGCCTAGTTCGCCTTATAGGAAGCGCCGGCCCTGTGTAGGACCCACCAATATTGGGGTACTGTGAAGTTGTGGTGGGCTTAACACGATATGGCCATATGGTGGAACTGAATCCCCATATTTGTTTGCTGAGATTTAGGAAGCCTTGAAAAAAAAATTAAAACTATTTTTGTGTGTGCCCTGTTCCTTAATCTGTATTTTGTATATATTTTGGTCTCCACGGCAACACCATTGCTGGGAGGTGCATGTTCCAAGTGTGCCCTCAATTCCCTTTTTTTCTATGCAAAGTCTTCACATTAAAGGATCATTATAGGGTCAGGAACACAAACATGTATTCCTGACCCTATAGTGTTAAAACCACCATCTAGCCCCCCTGGGCCCCTCATGCCACCATAAATATAGCAAAATCTTACTGTATTCAAGCCAGAAGCTGTAACTCTGCATGCTGTTTGCCTAAAAAAAAAAAAACAAGCAGTCTGCTGACATCATCAGAAGTGGTAGCCTGATCCAATCACAATGCTTCCCCATAGGATTGGCTGAGACTGACAAAGAGGCAGATCAGGGGCAGAGCCAGCATGATTCAAACACAGCCCTGACCAATCAGCATCTCCTCATAGAGATTAATTGATTAATGACTCTCTATGAGGAAAGTTCAGTGTCTGCATGCAGAGGGAGGAGATACTGAATATTCGGATGCCTTTTAGGCAGCCATGACCCAGGAAGTATCTCTAACAGCTATCTGAGGAGTGGCCAGTGAAGTTATCACTAGGCTGTAATGTAAACACTGCATTTTCTCGTAAGACCGTGTTTACAGCAAAAAGCCTGAAGGTAATGATTCTACTCACCAGAACAAATTCAATAAGCTGTAGTTGCTCTGATGACTATAGTGTTCCTTTAAACTGCATTGGGAAGTCTGTGATTGGACAGCCACAGAAAATCTGGGTGGGGTTACAAGGGGAGGGCTTCAAAAAAAACAAAGCAGCAGACATGAGAGCTGCAGGATTTGCAAGCTGTTTTTAGATAAACCCCACAAAACAAAAATTACTATTAAATGCATGCATGTTTCCATTTTTTTTGTATTATGGCAGTGGAGTATCCCTTTAAAGTATTGAGCAGTCATGACTGCATAGAAAATGATAAATTTAACCCAGGTCCATAACCAACCAAACAACGACACCAACACTCTTTTAATGGTTAAGGGCATAGGTCACAGCTTTATTGAGTTTATTGAGTCCACTGGTACAATATAACATAACTTACTTTAACATTTAACCCATAACAGTTGCCCTGTAAATCAAATCTTTAGTCTTGGAAATCTGTGCACCTTGCCAAAACCGATTCAAAGTCTTACACATTGTTATTTTACATTTACAATGACTGCTCTAATAATAGATTGACAGATCTACTTGTTTTTCTCTGCATTTCGTGCCAGGTCACATAGTATTTGCTTTGTCTTGCTGAAACAGCAGCTTTCAGTCCTATGTATAATCAAAGCAGGGTAACATTGCTCCAAAAACATTTAATACAAAGATAAAATTCAGAATATACATACTAAGAATGCAATACAGAATCCCCTTTCATTTCATTATGCTTGATTATTGAATACTGTATTTAAAAATCATGTAATGCACATTTTATTGGTGATTTTTAAAATTACAAATCATGCAAAAAAAATGTTTATTCCAGTACTTTACAATGTGAAGTATACAAATGATTATTTATATACATAAAGCACTACATCTCAACTGTAAAACAGCTTAATCTTGCTGCCATGCAGTGTTCCGTAGCAGTCGGCCCTGTCACTTTGTGCTGTAAAACTAATAGGGACTTTATGAATGGCAAGTAATAATTTCTTCATAGGCTTGCGTTGTTCTGCATGCTCTCCATGTCTGCCTGTGCAGTTATATAGTGTGTAAACAGAGCAATTTTTCTATGCAGACTTAAAAAAAAAGTTAAATCGGATGAGAGAAGGCTAAGTGAAAATGTACATCTTGTAAAACATGGACTGTTCCTCAATTTTTGTAATTTTTGTCTTGAAGTCTTGTTGGTTGCTGTCTGTGTAACTGTGTAAATTCAAAATGTGTGTGATATTTTAAATGCAAGATAGAAGATAGCCTAAGTTGCCAACCAGTCTCTGGCTATTATTACGACCTTCTTTGGCCTTTAGTTTTCTCAAATTCTTTATCTAGAACCTCTCTGAAAGCATTCCGGGATAAGGTGCAAAATCCATTTCCAAGCAAGTTCATTTAAAGACTTGAGGTTGGGGGGGGCGGAGCTAAGTGGCTATGCCGAGAGGTCGCACTGGAGAGCAGTAAAAACGCTCTCAAATAGCCAAAATCACGGCTAAAACTCACAAAATCGATGGTTAGGCGACCTGGAAAAGAGAGACCTAACATTGCAGAGCCAAGAGCCAAGCATCCCGACCGAAATCAGAGGCTTCTAGCCGGGGATAGACCTGAGGCCTACTGCAGCCACTCACCTGGAGGTCTCCTCGGCATACTTCCAACCCCCCCTGCCGGAGAGGGATATCCCGGCAACAAAAACCTGAGACGCAACGACTAAAACACAGAGGTGACTGTCCTGCACAGCACCAACAAACATCGGGTCACTGAGAAGCAGCTAAGATGGCTTCCAAGCGAAGGCCCCAAAAACGAAGCACACAAGCCCAACCAACCACGAACCCCCTGGGGGACTTCGACCAACTCTGTGTGAGCCTCTGGTCTATGCTGAGCGAGCGCGGAATGGCTTACCGCCTGGCAGTGAAACTAGTGGCCCCATGGATCCATCCAGTAACCAGGTGGCGCCATTACAGGCATCCACTACAAGCACCCAGAAAGAAAACCAGACCCAACAAACACCGTCGAGCTCAAGGGTGGGAAACTACGCCATATTGCGATGCCCCCCACACTCAAGAGAACAAGACTGCTAAGCCAACCTCCCACACAAGCTACTCACCAGCTCCGGGAGCCGACGCCCAGTGGGGCTCACCTCCATCCCTCCAAGTCACAGCTGCAAACCGGGGAGCTGCACAGTTGACCACTCTGCTTAATACCGCCGGAGCGGAGCACCAGTGCTAGGACACCTTCCGGGAGACCAACACTGACGACAGGAGACATGTCCATGCGCTGGGCATTGGCTGAGGGACCTGCCTCGGGTGAACATGCCACAAGCGCACCTGGAGGGCACATTCACAGCCGTCGACACACAGACTACCTACATCACGTAACTATGACTGTCCAATGCAGAGACTAAGTGCATTAACTGAACACTGCTGGCCGACCATTTAGCCTATATTAATCCTCTCTATGTTACCCTTCTATAACTGGTGCCGCAATGACAGAATGTGCCCAGGGGTTCTCACACCTTGTCCCCTACCGATGTATGGCATCATAAGCTACTAACCCTATGACAGTCACTCTCACTAATCTTCTGATCTTTAAAGCGATGTTACTTTATGTTAAATTAAGAAACAAGCACGCTTGCATTGTAGCCACTAAAGCGCTAGTAACCACAACTCTTGCTATTGCAACTAGCATGTAACTATATCCTGACCTAATCAGCATGCATACTTCTTGTTTCACTTAACCTTTACACTCCACCAGTTACTTAGCCTGACTAAATCTTAGGATTGATAATGCTGGTGGACACCATATCATTACTCGTTGATATGTTGTCACTAGGCTTAACCCCTTAAGGACCAAACTTCTGTAATAAAAGGGAATCATGACATGTCACACATGTCATGTGTCCTTAAGGTGTTAAAGGAACACTATAGTCACCTAAATTACTTTAGCTAAATAAAGCAGTTTTAGTGTATAGATCATTCCCCTGCAATTTCACTGCTCAATTCACTGTCATTAAGGAGTTAACCCCTTAGCGACCGAGGACGGTTCAGGACCGTCATCGGCATTTTTGCCTTGAGGACCGATGACGGTCCTGAACCGTCCTAACGGTCTGGGGGTACTTACCTGATCGCCGTCGTTCCCCCGGCGGCGATCAGCGTTGCTCCGGTTGTGGGGAGACTGCCTGCAGCCCAGACAATCTCCCCACACTGAATTAGGACCCCTGTGGCCATGTGATCGCTTAACACAGCGATCACATGGTCACAATAGGTGTCCATGTGTCTGCCTGCAGGGGGACTGTCTGTGCTGACAGGCAGTCTCCCTGCATGTGTAAAATCAGTAAAAAAAATAAAGTTAATGTTAATTAAAAATAAAAAAATAATAATTAGATATGTGTATATATGATATATAGACATATAATATATCTATATAATATATGTCTATATATCATATATATATAATATATAAGTGTATTTTTATATTAATATGTACTTATATTAATATAAAAATACACTTATAATTAAATTACACACGTATATATATAATATATATAATAACTATATATATTGTATATATATATTATTATAAAATATAAATAATAAGTAATTTAAATTAAATAAATTTTTTTTTAAATAATAATAAAAGAAAAAAAAAAATTATATATCTATATGAAATTTTATTCTAACTGTATTTTAAAATTAATATATATATATTTATATCAAAATACACTAAGAATGAATTTGTATATATATCTATGTATATAAAAATAAATAAAAATAATAAGAAATATACATATGTCCATATACAAAATTACATAAATAATTATATAAATATACACGTAGACTTCAAATATATAAATATGCATATATATTTAAATTCTACGTGCGTATTTATGTAATAGTTTTACATAATTCAGTAATTTTATTGATTGCAATTTAAGGGACCTGCCTGCCAACCCAGGCCGAAATTCCAGAGAATTGAATTTGCTAGCACTGTATTTTACCCTGTAACGTTCTACGACACCCTAAAACCTGTACATGGGGGGTACTGTTTTACTCGGGAGACTTCGCTGAACACAAATATTAGTGATTCAAAACAGTAAAACATATCACAGCGATGATATTGTCAGTGAAAGTGACTTTTTTTGCATTTTTCACACACAAACAGCACTTTTACTGATGATATAATTGTTGTGATACGTTTTCCAGTTTTTAAACACTAATATTTGTGTTCAGCGATGTCTCCCGAGTAAAACAGTACCCCCCATGTACAGGTTTTATAGCATTTTTGAAAGTTACAAGGTCAAATATATGGGTCAAATATTTTTACATTGAAAATGGCCAGGTTGGTTACGTTGCCTTTGAGAGCGTATGGTAGCCCAGGAATGAGAATTACCCCCATGATGGCATACCATTTGCAAAAGAAGACAACCCAAGGTATTGCAAATGGGGTATGTCCAGTCTTTTTTAGTAACCACTTGGTCACAAACACTGGCCAAAATTAGCGTTCAATTTAGTTTTTTTACTTTTTTCACACACAAACAAATATGAATGTTTACTTTGGCCAGTGTTTTCGACTAAGTGGCTACTAAAAAAGACTGGACATACCCCATATTGAATACCCTGGGTTGTCTACTTTAAAAAAAATATGTACATGTGGGGTGTTATTCAGAGATTTATGACAGATAATAGTGTTACAATGTCACTATTGATAAATTTAAAAAATTTATGTTTTGAAACCGCAATATTCTACTTGTACCTATAGCCCTATAACATGCAAAAAAAAGCAAAAAAGCATGTAAACACGGGGTATTTTTAAACTCAGGACAAAATTTCGAATCTATTTAGCAGTTTTTTTTTATTCGCTTTTGTAGATGAGTAAAAGATTTTTCAAGTAAAAGTCAAAAAACATGTATTTTTTTCAATTTTTCATCATATTTTTTTATTTTTTTTAAATTAAAATACATGAGATTATATAAATAATGGTATGTAAAGAAAGCCCCTTTTGTCCTGAAAAAAACAATATATAATTTGTATGGGAACAGTAAATGAGAGAGCGGAAAATTCCAGCCAAACACAAACACCACAAAAGTGTAAAAATATGCCTGGTCGCAAATGTACAACATCGCAAAAACAGTCCAGTCCTTAAGGGGTTAAATCACTTTGTTTCTGTTTATGCAGTCCTAGCCACACCTCCCCTGACTATGATTGACAGAGCCTGCATGAAAAAAAAACTGGTTTCACTTTCAAACAGATGTAATTCACCTTAAATAATTGTATCTCAATCTCTAAATTGAACTTTAATCACATACAGGAGGCTCTTGCAGGGTCTAGCAAGCTATTAACATAGCAGGGGATAAGAAAATCTTAATTAAACAGAACTTGCAATAAAGAAAGCCTAAATAGGGCTCTCTTTACAGGAAGTGTTCATGGAAGGCTGTGCAAGTCACATGCAGGGAGGTGTGACTAGGGTTCTTAAACAAAGGGATTTAACTCCTAAATGGCAGAGGATTGAGGCTGCAGGGGCATGTTCTATACACCAAAACTGCTTCATTAAGCGAAAGTTGTTCAGGTGACTATAGTGTCCCTTTTAACTAAATCGTAACTAGCTCATCTGAAAATCGTTTGACACATACTGATCCACCATGTCATGTATAAATATAAAAAACAGTGCACTTTTTCCTGATATTGTATGTTACACCATTGCTTTATCTTGTTTTATCCTTTACAATGTTTACCTAAACTTGTATACATAATCCTGCACTGCAAAAATAAAGAATTTATAAAAAAAAAAAAGACTTGAGGTTGAGATAATAAGTACATCTGTATATGCGAATCACAAATGTTAAGGATACATACAAATTATTACTAGCATATAAATGTAACAGCAACATTTCCCAGAACATTAACAGTTATACAGTGGGGTTATATAACAAGTAACAGGCATAATTCTGAGTGACAGATGAACATTTGATTGATTAAATCAACAACAGGTCTACAGGACATGAAAAGTGTATTGGAAAAACTGCCAAGGAAGCCATTTGACAGCAGCAGAATAGAATAATAAGGAACAGAATATGCCACAACATTGTTTGTCACTATGCACAAACCAGGCCTGGCAACATTGGGAGGTATGATTGACCGGGAAAAGATGACAGGCCAGTAGGTGCTGTGCACATCACTGCTGACCTGGTACAATGATGTAGTGCACCGTGCAGGTGGGTCTCCCAAAAAGGTGCTGGTCTCTACAAAAAGGAACATGTCAGCCAACTTGAGTGGCAACTGCTTTTGCAGCAAGGTACCCTCGTTAAAAAAGTGCAGCTAAAGCTCTCTCGTATTCTCAAGTTCTGGCACAGAGAGTCAGGGTACCTCTAGTTTCGGTCTCCTTAGTGTGCCTACATGGGGATCTGGATGGAGGCCATGCTACTTCTAATGCGTCTAGATCTTCCTCCAGCAATCCAGATGCCAGGTGCTGTCCCCTTTTATAATGCAATGTGTGAGTGTAAACATCACCACGCAAATTATGTTAAATTGAGTAGTTTTTGACAGTCCCTCACATTCCTAATAAGCCACATTGTAAATTGTTTTTTTGGGGCTGTTTTCTATGCCCTGTTGTGGTTTCTAGAAAGTTCCATTAGTGCATTTAAATGTATTTGTTCTGTTGCTTTTTGGTTTTGATTGAGCAACAATTGACTATTCTACTTTGGTACCCATGACCTAGCTTTGCATCTCGTTCTCCAGTTACTGGCTCCCATTTTCTGGTTAGTCTTTGACTTTTCTGTGTTTATAGCCTGGGCACTCTAAGGACCGATAATACATTTATTCGATTTTGGTTTACACGCTGTGTGATGTGTTGCATATAACCGTGACACACATTGAGTATGTCTAACGATGCAGAACACCAGATAGCAATCCCAGGATAGCAGCCCAAATTTAGGATAATCATGCTTGATCTGAAACTGTTGGGAGAGATGACATGGAATATTTAAATAATACTTAAATAACTCTTAAAGTAAAGTGCTGTAATACACACATCTAATTATCTTTTATTGTGGATTTCTGTATTTTGCAGGACTGCATCCAGAAGAGCGCTTTCTGAATAATGTCCTTAAAAACTTATAAAATATGAACAATTAGATATAACAATGGCTTAGATGGAGACGTAAGGTCAAGATGAAAAATTAATTGTTCTAAAGTTAAAGTAATATCAATTTTCAAGTCTTTAAAAATTTCTGAACGATAACCCAAGATTTCTCCCGGACCATGTCTGTACATCCAGAGGACTGCTAGAGAAAGTAAACTGATACAGTGAGCACTATATTTTATTCCCTTTTTTTCTGGGTTGGACTACTCTGCTGTTATATACACCTGAAAACCAGCAGAATTCTATATATCCTTAAGTGGGGATCATTCCACTTCACACATTCCAAACCAGAGTTGGATTTAAGCTCTGGACATTGTGAGTATTGTAGTTCCTTATTATTATAACCTCAAAAGACTCGAAATGACTGTGTTACTGTTAATACCGATTGCTACTGTTGCCACTATATACGTTTAAGCCGAGGAAAACACGAATGGATTACACGAACCCTTATAAAGACTCCATTCGTGATACGAACGAGGGACCCCCCAAATGCTGGCGTGTGCCGCCACTTAACCTCGTCACCCCGCAAAGTACCGAACGGTCGACCACCCGACCAGCGGAGTGTGGCAGCCATTAACCACCCAGGCGGCTGCGGTCTGCGGTTAACCACAGACTAATTGATGGGCCTGGGGGGGGTCGACGTTCGCACCCAAAGTACCGAAGGGAATCTACCGAACAACCACCCGAACGAGACCCCCTACAGTGGGTCGCGTGGCGGTCATTAGCCTGTGGTTTCTGCGGTTAACCGCAACTCAAGTGCCATGCTACCAGGTGGTCCTCGTTCATGTACCGAACAAGTTCCACTACCAGACAGACAGCGGGACTTCGCATGAACTGATACCCGGGTTTAGTTCCATAAATTGGAAGCGAGGTCCTGCTGCCCGCTAAACCGTCTGAAAACATGGCCGCCATCAGAGACTCACAATCCAAAATGCCGAACGGACTTTATACGGCAGAAAGAGCCCATTCTGTTCGTGGGACTGGAGCGCCATTCGTATGTTTAAGGTATCCGAACGCGAGCTATTAAATGAATGGTAGAATGAGCTGTTTTCCTTTATTAATGTTAAAGTTATGGATTTTTATGCAGTTTTCTGTGACATAATAAAACGTGGTCTTTTGTGTGCTTGGAGATAATTAGATTGTATAACCGTTGGCCTCATTATCTCCAAGCTGGGCGGGTACTTATTCAAATGATACACTGTATTGTGATTGGATACTTGTCTGTACTGTACCTGTATTCCATCAGGTCCACAGAGGGCTGTCCTTGGACCTGAGGAATCACATAAATTGCCATGCTGTGTGCCAGTAAAGCCAGTTCGTTTTGACCCTCAACTTGCAGCCTCGACTCATGTTGTAGGGATCCGGGATATTGATGCTTATACCGTGCTTGGGGATATTCTACACTTGCAGCTTACTACCGAAAGACCTCCGTTCGACTCTCTACAGCGGGAACCAGGACTTCCAAGCGATCAACCCCTCTGCTAGACCGGGTACAATCGTAACACTCAGAAACTGAGTGCATCTATATACTGTACCATTGGAGTCCTTTCTTTTGTTTCTTCCCCACATGTTCCATCAGATCACAAGCCTACACTCATGATTATCCATCCTATCTGCTGTTCCACAAAGAACTCTCCCTACTGCTGTGGATTACACTACTTTGGACTAGTGTAAACTTATTTGGACTGTATTATATTATCTACCCATATAAAGTATTTTTACTTACAATACCATTCCTTTAAGGCGCACCCTTTCCTTTTATCTCTTTTTATGACACTTATTTTGAGGGGACTAGAGGGGACCCCTCTCCTTATAGGTGTGCTGCCTACACCCTTTAAACAATATATACCCTGTGGCATACTAGCGCTGACCCTTACTTTGACTTTTTTAGCTATAAAAATTTCTGTAACTTTCAGTTTAAGATGATTTAATTTAAGACAATCCCACCATGTATGCTTTATTGAACCAACCTTTCTATTGCATCTCCAGCAATAGAGAGTATCAGCACTACACTTGGTTAGCCCTGGAGCCAGTAGAGTAGAGGTGCCCGGGTCGTTGTGGTTGAGTGTTCTTTATATTTATTTATTCATTCATTTTATTTCTTTATTTTTATTATTCATTTTATTTATTTATTTTTGTAAGAGTGTTGTCTAGGCTGGGTAGTGATCTGTAAGAGTGTGTCTCTGCCGGGTACCATGTAGTGATCGGGACACTGGTCCGTGGGTGTCATTGGTTTTGGCTCACCGTGGGCCACTTCAGTGTATAGTGTGCTGATTTCTGGTTAGTGTTGTTTCAATTAATCTGGACTAGGTCTGATGGTGAGGTGTAGTCATTTGGTGAGAGTTTAGGTGTAGACTTTCGGTCATGTAGGAGCTTGGGTACTTCATCTGGTCTATCTGGCCCGGTAAAGTGCCTGCTTGAGGGGGGCGTCTCTATGTGGTTGCGTAGCACTATCCCGGGAGGTCGGGCTCCTATGTCAGTTGTACCCCATGACCCCGGGGCATTGGGGGGGGGAGATTGTATGTCTTCTGAGCAGCGAGATGTGTGTGTAGGGTGTGTCATATCGTGTGTGTTGAGCCTATTGTGTGAATGTGTGGTGGTATAAAGGTATTCGTCACAGGTAAGGTGATAATGGTTAAACACAATGGAGGTATGGGATATGTGCATATTTCTTCGTGGACAAGATTGAGAGGCTTATGTAGCCGGTGGGGGTTGGTTCAGCTCTTGGCTCTCCGGGTGCGTGGTTCGTCGTGGTAGTACTTGCGGTCTGAGGGCTGGGTGGTTGCATTAAGTTCTCTGCATGTTAGAAGATTCCCAGCGTTGCCAGCAGTGCCGGACCATCCTTAGGATCAGTGGCCTTGTAATGTTGACCATCCTTTGTTACCCAGAGTGCTCCTGGTGTTGCCCATTGGTAAGCGATTCCTGCTGCGTGGAGGGGCTTGGTTATGGGTTGCATTGTTTTGCGCCACTCCAACGTTGCCCTGCTTAAGTCCTGGAAAAAGGAAAGTTTGCACGTTTCGAATTCATAAGGTGTGTTTCCGCGGAGTTCTAGCAGTCCCAACTTGTCGGACATTGTGTGGCATCGCAAAATGAGGTCCCGAGGAGCTGTCTGAGGAGCTTTTGGCGATTTGGAGATTCTGTATACCCCGTCGAACCCAAACGTTTTGGCCTGTCTCATTGGTAGTAGTGTGGCCACCAGGCGTCTAATAAAATGGGGTAGCTCTTCTATCGCTATTGACTCTTTTACCCCTCTGATTTTGAGGTTCTTGCGTCTGCCCCTGTCGTCAAGTATGTTTATTTGTTTTTCCATATTTGCCTGTGTGGATTGCAGTTGTTGTATACTGTCTTCCATTGTGTTGAGACACTGTCTGAGGTCTGTTAATTTGGTGTCTGTCGCTTTAGTTCGTGCTGTTACTTCTTGCACTTTAGTAGAGAGCTTTGCCAGATCAGCTTCCCACATCTGCCTTAAGTTGTGTTGGAGGCCTGTCAGCATTGCTTGGATGTCGCTTTTGGAGGCAGGTGTGTTGGCCTGAGGGCCCTGACAAGGCTCCAGGGGTTGGGGGCTCTGTGGAGGGCTGTCAAGTGGGTCCGCATCTTCTGGTGGTGATGGTGGGAGTGAGGCCTCCCGGGGTGTCTGTGCCCTAGCTGCGTTTGGCATTTGCAGTAGTTGGCCTATGTCCCGCTGGGGTTTTGGGGTTGATTGGGGTATTTTTTGCACCTTGCGTCCCATCTCACCTCTAGGTGGGGTGCCGAGGATGTATTCCTCCGGATCTAGTGTGTGCCACTGCAGGAGCCCTCCTGCGATGTCTCGCTGTTTCCCGCCCGCAAGGTAGGCCCTGGCGCCTCGGCGTCTAGTTTTGGAGCCTGGGGACAAAAAGAATGGCATCTGCGGAGTCAGCCGAGTGTGCCGCGGGTGATGGCGTATCTTGTTGCCATCTATGTGGTAGGATGGCTGCGATTTACCCCGGACTGGGTTACAAAATCACTGAGCTCGGGGAAATGGTGTCTGCTCCCGTGCGGCGTTAGGCTCCGCCCCCTCATCTGTGTATAATTTTAAAGAAAGTCTCCTGTATATTCACACAGTGTATAGATATCCCAATTGTTTTAAAATAATTTTTCCAAGTCTGAATAGGAAAGGTTTTATCAATGTCTTTTTCCCATTCTTTAATAGATTTTGTTTTCACATTTTAATTTAGGGAATATACGACATTCCTAATCTTAGAAGATATCTTTCTATTAACTCCTAAAAGGAGTTTATCTAAAGGTGATTAGTTTATTATTAAAAGTTTGCGTAAGAAATCTTCTATTCTTATATATGTATATAGTTCTTTATTATCAAGATTTGATCTTATTTGTAGATCTAAAAATTTACAGATTTTATCAGCATAGTGAATATCTTTTATTCTCACTAGTCCTTTGCCAGACCATCCTGTCAGATTTAAGTATTGAATAAATAATTCCAAAGTTTTCAATGGTTAGAAAGTTGCATGTCTGAAAAAAAACTTCTTTATTGTCTCCACAGAAAAAAAAAACTTGATTAATAACTAAGTTGTCAATCTTCAAATTTCTAAAGATTTTTTTTATCTATCCAGAAGAAATGGAAAGGATCAAATTTGCCACACATCTTTCTTTCTTTCATACATATACCAGGGTTTGATAAAAGAATAAGTATTGCCCCATTCAAGGAAATGTGAAAACATAACAGAGTCGTGAATAAGAAAAACGTTGGGAAAGGATAAGCCCCCCTCTGATGTTCTAGTTGTTATTGTTTCAAAGGCAATTCTAGATTTTTTGCATCCCCCAAACGTATGAAACAAATAGTCTGTGAAATGATCTTAACATTATTCTGGGGACTCTAAGAGGTATTGTTTGGAGTAGATAAGATCTAAGAGTATTTACCCTCCCAAGCCAAAAAAGCTGTAATTTATCTGTCAACTCTTTTAGCTCTTGAAGCAGTTCATTATAGTTTTCCTGGATCCAAGAGCTGATGTTAAAACATATCTTAATTCCAAGATATATAATGGAATTATTAGACCACTTAAATTTAGAGATTTTTGATAAAGATTCAACCTGCGAATGTATGAAATTGTTGTGGATAACTTGGGTCTTATGAATATTGATTTTATAGTTGGAGAGGTGACTGAATTCCTCTATACAGCTCAATACTGCTGGAATAGACATTTCTGTATTAGTCAAGGTCAAAATTATATTGTCAGCAAATAAAGTTATTTTCTGTTCTTGGCTTGCTAAAAAAAAAAACTGAAATATTACATGATAATCTGATATAGGCTGCAAGAGACTCAATGGATAGAATGTATAGGAGAGGTGCTGAAGGACAGCCTTGTTGAGTGCCATTCCTAATCGTAAACTAGGTAGAGTTTAGGCTGTTGCCATGCACTTTCGCTAAAGGAGTAAAATAAAGTGATAGTGTTAGATCTTTAAATTTTCCCTCAATACCAAAGGCAGATAAGGTTGCTGACAAGAATTTCCAATTTACTCGGTCGAATGCCTTTTCAACGTCAACAACAATAAAAGCGGAAGGAATATGTTCTCTATTCACGTCTATCATTAAGTGTAAGATCTTTTGTACGTTGTCACTGGCCGATCTTGTTCTTATAAATGCTGCTTGGTCTATATGAATTAATTCAGAAATAATAATGCTAAGTCTATCAGCCAGGATTTTAGAAAATATTTTTATGTCTTGCTTTATTAATGAGATAGGGCGATAATTACTTCTAACATTTAATAAAAATCCCCAAAAGGTAATAAGTTCCCACACGTTGCAAACTCTGAGAGTCATAGAAGAACGTGAAAGAGGATACGTAACATTAGAGAGTGTTGGACAGTTGGTTTAATGAGAATACTGAAAGTAAAGTTGCATTGGGACTCCAACTTGGTTATCGCTTAGGTAACGGTACTGCTTTACTTATCAAAAAGTTTCTGTTCCAGGCCACTGTGCATGATGTGTCTTCAGATAAAAAGAAAATCATGTGTGAATTTAAATTGTTTTACCACTGCTTCCCACAATGCCAGTGAAGTACGTTTCGCACCAGGTCCGTGAGTATTACAGAATTACTGATTTATAGGTGGTCTCCTAAACCTTATTTGAGATAGAACTTTTGTGGCCCAATTAAAAAATGACTTCCCTTTAATCCTATTTAAACTCTCATGAAAAGCGTGAGAAGCGTGTTTTTTCCATTTCCCAGCATGATCTTCTGAAGCTGAGATTAATATATTAGTGAGACCAGGTTGCTTGCGTGCCAACCAATCAAGGTTCAGTGAAGTATGTGTGCTGTATATATAGACAATACATGGGGCTGAAGAATAGCGAGTTCAAAAATAATGCATTAATATGTGCAGAACAATTGGTGAGCTGACTAATTTTATATGGGGTATATTTATCAGTATGCCTTATCAGCTATAGATATAGGTTAACTCATATCTGTTGGTCTGGAGTCATAAAAGATAAGAATTGTAGATGGTATTGTTTTTAATATTGGGGTATGCAAAGTGACATATAGCTCAGTGTCAGATTTCTACAGAGGTTACAATGTTAATTTAGTGCAGTGAGTAAAGACTACCAGAAGATATCCTTGCCTGCATTTTTATTTTTCCCAGTTGTTGAAGAAGACAATGAGGCACCTTGAGCAGGCTTTGTTTGCTTAATATAAACACATTGAAAGAGAGACAAGCAAGTAGCCTACAGCTCTACACATTTAAACCTTACCTGATATTTACTTTACTTATTTGTTCTTTATAGTGGCTTGACGTACATTTCAAGGAGCTTAGACTACCTTTACTTTGTCAGCCTTCAACAAATTCTCTGCATATAGTTAATGATCCACTAAATAGCCACTGTAAAATAAGCCTTGCTTTAACAGAAGCAAAGGCATTTCTTTAGAATGCTCAATTAATATGTGCTATTTAAGATATCTGCTTTTTTATTCTTCTATGACCAAATGTACTACCACTAATAAGCAATTTAGCTATAGCCAAAAATAGGTTTTCATTACCTATGCTGAGTAATCCACATCCTTTAGTCTGGATTCATAGGCGTTAAAACCTTTTGCGCATGATTTGAAGAAGCAAAAGCTACACGATAGCTCAATGTCAAATGTTCACAGAGCCTACAACTAAGGATTCAGTGCAGTATATGGAACATAACAGATGTGTAAAGGCATACAATCGCTAAGCGTTTGATTTTCACCCAGTTTTCCCAATCACTGCAGAGAGTGGCTCTTTCACCTGGGGTCAGGTGATCTATTGAAAACTGCAGAGAGAATGCTGGATTAAAAGGGCTTGTAGTGGACATTTTAGCCCTTCTGTGTTCAGTGTAGGGGGTGCAACACAACCTTTTTACAGGTGGCATATTGTTCATGATGTTTACTGCACCATTAACACACCCACCTGCTGCTCTCGTCTGCTCCCTTTCCTGACATCGGATGTGCCAAACTGTCATCGACTTGATCGTCTCCATTTTATGCACAACCTTTTAAAGGCGTGCGTTATTGGCAAATTTGGGTAACAAAACTAAACTTTTCCAGAACAGGTTTGTTTTTTGTTTTTTCAAGATCAGTTAAATATGCTGGAAACAAAACAAAACAAAACAATAACCTCTGGAAAATAATAAACCAAAAACTATAACAAGACAAATTAATATGATCGAAATATGTTGTTTTTCAAATACAGCAAACATTAAAAAAAATACTAGGACTAAATAAGGAACATTAAGTAAACAGCATGTGTCTATTTGTCATATTTTTATAGTTTGTAAATCACAGTTGCTAGGAATTAAATGCATAGAGTAGGTGTTCTGAACAGAACAGTGGCTAGTAACATTGCCTAACGTCTCAAAATATGGGGGTATAGATAAAATAACTCATTAGCTACGCATACTCTTGTGTAGATTTAGAGATGATAAAAGCCTTGGTGCAGATTTGGTGATAAAGAAGAGACATCTCAGTTCAATATCACATTTACAACTGGGAATTTAGACCAATGAATGGAGTATTAGCAGAAGATTGGGTTTACTTTTAAATGTTTGGCTGTAGTTGAATCTGACAGAGAGGTTTATTTAATGTGATAAACATCTTTTGTCGCCAGGTAGAAACCACTCAGAAACATTACAAATAAAGAGCAATTGACCCATATACTCTATACATGTACAATGCTATACTTGCTAAGCTTGGTTCTTTAAGTTGGTTTGATGAATACTGAAAGGGTAAGGAGCTTTGAATTGCTTTATTTTTTCAGTGTTTGGTAAGTACACAGAGGGGTCTTCTCACTAAAAACAGAATGGCTCAGTTTTACTACTATCAGTTGTTAAGTTTTCTTCGTAGCTCACTGTATTCACTAACAACTGAAAGCTAGCCAAATTGATCCAAATGCATCCAGGTTATTTACACTATTCAAAAATTGATCTCATTCTTTTTAAAACAGTTAAACTAAATTAAAAATGTATTGCAGTCAAATTGTAACCTAATTTCACTGATACAGAACAAATGCTAATGTAAAATAGGTGCTCGGGGACAGAGGGGGTTCGAGTTTGGATATCCTTACTTATAGGGTAAAGTGGTTTGGGGTGGCATTAGGGTAATTTAGAATTATGGAGTTTTATATGGCTATTAACTAAAGTGAGAATTCAAAGTGAATTTCAATGTTAACGGACCACTATAGGCACCCAGACCACTTCAGCTCAATGAAGTGGTCTGGGTGACGGGTCCCTCTAGTTTTAACCCTGCAGAGAAACTGCTATGTTTACACTGCAGGGTTAATCCAGCCTCTAGTGGCTGTCTCCCTGACAGCCACTAGAGGCCGCTTCCGCGATTCGTCCTCACGGAATCCAGTGTCAAAAAAGATCCCCATAGGAAATCATTGAGTAATGAATTCCTAGGGGCGGGTTTGAATGCGCGCGCACCTCTGGCCGCACATGCGCATTCGGCTTTACTCGGGAGCAGACGTTGGCATGGGGAAGAGAGGAGGGAGCCCGGTGCTGGATTAAGGTAAGTGGCTGAAGGGGT